ACGGCCAACACGTATCAAACAAGCCATCAAAAAACGCACACATTATTATAACTCAGGACGCCTGCGTTCGAATGACGCACAGGAGATCGCGTCCGGATACCTTCGGGGGATACCCTGTACACGCGTATATACCTGGGTATAAAACCGTAGGTACACTGGCGTGGTTTCAAATGCGGAGATGAACCGCGATGACGGTATATCAAAGGAACGGGCGGTCTGGAACATCGGATACACACGCGCGTGCACATTATTATTATTGTGTGTATATCACGTTCGCGTACAGTGCTCTCGGCAACAGCTAAATACTTCACGAACAGATACCCTCTATCAAATTCTGCATTAACCGCGGAAAAGGAATAATTTCGCTGTGTGCGGGGGGTTTTTTTTATTATTATTATTATTATTCTTTCGCCTTGTGACGATAAGTTCCGGCCAAAAACAGTAACAAACCCGGCGACTCGACGACGATGTTTCACGCGGGTGAAACTCCCGTGCTGTCGAAATTTCACGTCGAAAATTACGGCGACGCTCGCCCGTCGTCGCACGCGATATATGGAATATTATCGTTGTTTCCCCTCGCAATTATTTTCGCGCCTCGCTGCCACACGAAAATCAATCGCCGTCGTCGCGAATCTAAGTGGAAAACATAATAAAATAATTGCTGACAATGAAATTCGCGGTTCATTAGATCCCTACCGTATACCCCCACCCTCTTCCCGCCGTTGTGTCCGACGTGCTGCACAATCTACCGCGCGCGACCTCCGTCCGAACGAGACTTATGTGTACAATAATAACTGCGATAATTGCGCGATGGGGTCCGACGACAACATTACGTTCTCTCGCGATGAAAGTCACCGGCTGATGTCCGAAAAAAAAAAAAAAAAATCTTACAGGTACCCAATCAAAGTTCCTACTGCGTACCGTATACGCGACCGAGAAATTTAAACGAAATCATATTTTCCCGTATCAAAAACAAAATCCAAATATTGTCTACGAACCATCCGAACCCATGTGTTGCCAAAAGAATTAATGTTGATTTTTATTTGTTCTTGTTGCCATAGTGACCCGTAAATCAACAACAATAATTCGATTTTCGTATCAAAAATACCAATTTCAACCTTTGTCAGCCTCGCTGGATTTTCTATATTTGCTATATATTTGCTAGACTTGGTAAAATTTCCAAAATATTGAGCCATTTTTGAGCTATTTACTGATAGTTTAATTTTTTATTTAATAGGTACACGGTGCATAAAGTTGTTATCAGAAATTAACAGAAACTAAACAGAAATAATTGAAAGTAATTGGACATTTATTATAAATAGTACTTAGTGGTCAGAACAAAAAAATTGAATTGTAGTAATATGCAGCATTTTAATTTTTTTATAAGAAATTTACAAAGATGTTTATTTTTTTTTATCTATGCGCAATTTTTCTACCAGAAAACTTGCTCGGATTTCTACGTGTAGCACCTTTCGATTTTCTCAAGTTTTCTTATCAAATGCGAAAAACTGAAAAAAAGAGAGAAAATTTACGAAATATAATAAATATAATTTAAGATTTTTTTTTTCTGTGGACAACTTTTCTACAAGCAATTTTGCTCCAACTTTTAATGATAGCAATGTTGCTAAAAAAATTTCACTGATAAGGTACTTTAAGGAAATCCTTTTTCGATTTTTCCAAGAGTTTTCCCAGCAAATGTGAAAAACCGGGATAAAACATTGGAAAACCTGTTAAAACGATACAACATTAATCATTAAAGAAAATATATAAAGCCTATTTAATTATTTTACTATAAAATGACTTATATATTGTTAACAAAGCATCATTATTAACGGAACTCCGTTAAGAATCATTTTTTCGTGGTTTATTGTTGCTTACAGGTATACATTAAATTATCTATAACAGTGGCTGCAACCGTCCCTACTATCCTAGACGTCTTTTTTATGTTTGGTCGTTTCCTTTTAGTTTTTCTTCTGTCTGTTAACATCTTTTTGACCAATCAGAAATCTTGCTACGTACATTATTGGCATCATGGTTAGTTTCTGGTAGTTGTAAACGTAGTATTTTTCTCAACAATGGGGAAAACCCTTGAGAAAAACTATGCGAATAATGAAATGTGGATAGAATAAATTTAACTTCCAGTTTCATTTTTCAACGTCCGTTATTGCTCATGTTAATAATAATTTATTGGCAAAGTTAAAAGTTAAAATTGACCGTGTGGACAAGTTTGTTGATCCAACTATGACGACGGTGTTCACAATATGAATATAGATTACTAATTAATAATAATAATCATCACTTTTAGAATTGTGATATATAATTTTATGCAAACGGTGTCTATTTGTCCGTACTATTACCAAATCGGAAACTTTTAGTATTGATTATACTTATACGTAATGACAATCGTTATATTTTATTACTTATAATTAATTTCATATTCATTAGTTACCTTTATAATAATTATTATGTACATTTATTTTGACATCGACGAATTATATTGATAATATAAATTATTGAAGAAATATAATTTAAATACAAAAATAAATGAAAATAAAAATATATATACGTTACATTATATTTATATTATTCATGATAAATTATTAGAAAAATAACAGAACAGAAATTCAGGGGTATTATAATAGTTGTGTATTTATACAACCGGATTCATTTTTAAAAAAAACGTCGAGTATCATCAGAACTATCGCGAAAAAATAATACAATAAACCTTGACATAAAATCGAAATGAGGAATATACAGACAAATTACTATTTTTTACACGGAGAGTAATTCTATTAGAAATAATTATAAAATACAATGAGATGACATAAAAATTTAAGATTATTTTTTGGACAATTTTTTGTGTATATGATACCTTTTTAAAATACATTAATTACGTTTTAGATTCCCAGGGTAACGAGGGAGCTATTGGTTTTACTAAGATGTATATTTGTTTTTTTTGTTCTAGTCTTTGGACACGTTTTTTCCTAGTAAACTTGCTACGATTTTTACGTGTAGCAACTTTTTTGAAAGCTCAAGTTATCTAAGTTGTAGTTAAGAGCCGTCATTTTTTAAATAAAAGCACATAAGTGGGAAAAAACGTACAATTTCACGATTTCATTATTTCATAGACACGAATGTTTTATACCAGAAAAAATGATTTAATCGAAAAATCACAAACCGCTTTTATTGTTGCCTTTGTGATTTACTTTCCACGGCACAATCGCTAAAACATTTTAGCTTTTAAGGAATTTTAATTTTTGGGAGTTTTTCTTGCTGTAATTCGGTTATAAATACACGTAGACTTAAAACTTGGTAATAATACTTATATTGGACTTATGCAAACGTGGTCGAATTTCCAAAATAATCTGACTTTTTTTTTAATAAGCGTTTTGAAATTAAATTTAAACGAAAATTTCAAAAAAGAATTACGGCACTTCAAATTGTGTATTACCGAACTGCGCTCGGAATCGTCTTTCATCAAGCATTGGTTTATCGTTGCTTACAGATATAAATAAAATAACCGTATGTATCCTACCTTCCCAACTTCTTTGTTAATGAATGTAAAATTTGGTTTAAAAAAATTTTTTTTTCCTTAGACAACTTTCCTACTAGCAATATTTCTAAAAGGAAATTCTACTAGCAAGGTACTTTAGAGAGGTCATTTTTCGATTTTTCCAAGAGTTTTTCCCAGAAAATATGAAAAACCGGGGTAAAACATGAGAAAACCTGGAAAAATCGGTACATTAAACATATATTATTAAAGAAAATATATAAAGCCTATTTAATTATTTTACTATAAAATGACATATATATTGTTGACAAAGTACCACTATCAACTGAACTTCGCTCAGAGTCGTTCTTTTCGTAAACAATAGTTTATTGTTGCTTACAGGTATACATTAAATCATCTAACAGTAGCAGCACCCATCCCCATTATCCTAGAACGTCTTTATTTTATATATTGGGTGATTTACTAACCCCATTTTTTTGGTTAAATTTTGCATACGTTCAAATTCTAATTTGAATTTTAACTGTAGGTAAAGCTGATATTTTAGAATAGGTACTTAGATTTTTAACATTTAAGCAGTATCCTGTGACGATACCAACTTTGGTTTTTGAAAACCTACATTAAACATTTTTTATCAGTGTTCCACTACGCTCCCTATACCACAACTTAAAAATGAAATATCTCGTCCACGGGAAGTAAATTTATGAAGTTATATTTCGAAAATAGAAACACGTGAGATAATAAACGCAGTGTTTTAATTGGCTGTCCTCGGAATGCAAATTTACTCTTTCTCACATTAGGTTTAATATCACCTTATCTCTCTTGATCCCTTCGGACCAACCACGTCTTCTATTCCTCGGGTAAATTTTCTCTCTAGATGTATAAGTCTATATTGTATATAATCATTAAAAACAACAGGGTTTTGATTATATGATAATATAGGCAAGAAATATGTTTAACATTAATATTGTCATATAAGAAACAATGTAAAAAATAGTAGAAGTTTAATCATTCCTAAATTGATAATTTTATGAAAACTAAGAGAATTCTAACATTTGCATATTTTTTTTTCTGAATTATATAAAAAGTAGAGGTCAAATAGAAATGTGATCATGTTATGTAGAATCTAAATTCAAAATTTGATTGTGCATATTTTAATGTCTGTTTTTCTCATTAAAGCATATATTAGTAGAATGCCGCATTTAAATACTATATAACAAGTCATTTATTAAATTTTTAAAGCATATTAGTATGATTTTTAGAGCCAGAAGACTCTAAGCCTAGTCATGAATAATGCATATTTTTATGAATAAACTAAAATGATCAGTCACCAATTAAAATCAAACTTGCTTCATTTTACGGTATGTGTTTTAATTAATAAGTATGCTATACAAAATATAAGTAGTGAGTATTATTTATAAATATTTTATTATTTTTAATTAAATATAATGTACATAAATATACTATAAGAATTAAAAACTTTATTTACTTTTCCTGGATGAGTACAATATTAATATTGTAAACTAAATCAATTACTATATTAGAAAATTAAAATATAAAACAAAAAAAATTGTAGATTTATTTTTTCTCTGAAGAATGATAGTCAAAACTCCAAAAATGTTTAATTGCTGCAATAGCACTTTCTCTTTTAGCTTCTTTTTTTGTAGCTCCTATAAAATATATTTAAATTAATAACATTTATTATTATTTTGAACTATTAAAATATTTAAATTAATTTTGGTATGAACACATAATAATGGCCTGTAAAAAAATTTAAATAAACATTAAGCTTGGCCCGATATATTCTAAAAGGGCACCAACACAATGATCATCTAATATGTTAGGTCAAAATAAACAGTCAAATTTGTTTAACTCAAACTTTATTAACTCGAAATCATTGATAACTAGAACTTTTCTACAGTCCCTAAAAATGTCTTATTAAACAATGTAAATAAATCACATTTTCGTTGATGACTCGAAGTTCCAATTTTATTAGAATCATTCATTTATAGGTGGTTATTCCCATATTTATGTACATTTACTATAAAAAGTAAACTTTATTAATGTTATGGTTACTGTTACAGATTTTACAACTTGTTTACCACTAGATAATATAACGCGTTAATAATTCACACACATTTACTTTAATGTTCCTTTAAGTTTTAATTTTTAAGATTTTAATATAATTGTTAGCGACATTAGTATTAAAACGATTAATAAATAAAATTAAAACCAAATGAAAATTCAATAACTCAAATTCTTGGGGAATTCTAACTTTTTTGTTGGTCCTTCAACTTTGAGTTAACCAAGTTTGACTGTATAATAATATGTCATTAACCTTAGACTAATCATTTAGAAATCAAGAAATCATTGATATTATATTGGTAGATAGAGTATTGTTTGTGATAAATGAATCATCAAAATTCTTTTAAAGAAATGGCATAACAGTTTAGTAAGTGTAACAGCTTTGAGGAAGACTATTAAGTTTTTTTTACAAAATATTACCTTGACTCTTAAATGTTACACCATTAATTTCACAGCTTGCTTCAAAATGTAACCTACTATTTAAAACATAGGCCTCATTAAATTTAATGCCCGGTGACATTTGATATAATAAATCAACAGGATGGTACTTTTCTGGGTTAGCAGGAAACTTTTTCATAGCACTAATCTAAAACCAAAAATTAAAATCTCAATTTTGAATACTATAAGAACAATTAAACTTTTTTTTTTTAGTACAAACATGAAGATATTAACTGTACTTCTGTATAAAGATTAAAGAATAACCTTTGTGTAATTAGATAAGTGTAATTGTTTATGCTGACATTTTTATACGAAAAATTTCCAATTTAGGAGTGAACAATATTATATAAAATAAATATTCACCTGTGTTGATACAGACTTCAAGTTCCAATTACTTAAAAGGTTATGCATGGCTAATGAATTAAAATGTAGCCATGGAAAATCTTGTGATGATTCCTTAGGTTTAACAGAATTAGTATTGCCAGTACCATCCACTTCCTTAGAATTCTCTGCAGTAGAAGCAACTTCCTCTGTTTTAAATAATTAATAATTTATTGTTTTTATATTTATTAAGAATTTGCAAAGAAAAAACAGTTACAATAGTAAGTTATCATTAAATAATATTTACAAAAATCAAATAAATAAATGACACAATTTAAATTTGTAAGAAATTATAGTAGTGATATGTACATATATGTTGTACTACAACATATATGTATGTAGGAACATTTCAATTGACCTCTCAGAATTCTTTGTGTAGTTTTAAACATATTATATTATTTATTTTTATGTATACCAATAGGTGGTAATGCATAATATCTATTACATACCTTATGTATATTATAAAATACATATAATACCTGACCTATCGAAGTTAAAATTATTTACTGTTTTACTTCTTTATTCTTCAATACATTAATGATGGATAAAAATATTTGAATGTTCACTTATGGCAGCCTCTTTTTCAAAATATTTATACAGGTCAACTAGTATTTATAAGAAAGAAAGAGGGAAAATGTGAAAATATTCAGTATATAAATAAAATTACAGTCACACCCGTATACTTATAATTAAGACAAATTCATCGACAAATAAGATTATAATGTACAAGTACATAATATTTATTCAAGTAACATATAGTTCAAAAGTTTAACTTTTACTTTTTGGTCATTTTATTAATTTTAAGAGCATATGTATGTTATCACCTATAAAAAATAATACTTAGATAATTCAAAATTTAATCTAAAGAAATTCTGTTTTCATGAAATTTGTTTTTATCGCGTCTTTATCTTATTTTTACAATAGCAGTGATGTGTCAAAAAGCTCAAACAAAGAACAACAAAAGTTAAACTTTTATTTTGCATTTCTGGCTATTTATTTTTATTCATTATTAGAGTAGTTTTAAGAATTTGTTTAATAATATTATTTTCCTAAAAGACACTTTAGTTATTTTTTTTTTTATAACACTTTTTATTTTGATCATTTTTAGGGCATTTAAATCTGATACCTAGTTGCTCATAATAATTTATTAAAATTAGTTACCAGAGCAAGCTCTTGAGGTTTGACAAATTTCATTTGACAACATTTTACGCAAGAATTTTTCACATGCTATTTCTTTAGCTTGAGTTTTAGAAACATGATCTCCAGTATATAATTGATCATCAATCTAAATAATACAAGTAATATTATATTACAAGTGACACATTAAATAAATCAATTTATCTAATTATAAAAAGTTTCTTACCATAATCGAAGCAATAAAAATTACAAAATTTCCACGCATCTGCGCTTCTAATTTAATAGGCACATCACTGTACAACTCAGAAAATACCTTTAATGGACTCTTAGGGCATATTAAACGACGTATTCGAGCATTAAACCGTTTTTTCTGTTCTTTCTTAAACATTTCTAAAAATAAAAATGTATTTAAATTGGATGATCATTTATACGTTTACTTATACTTTAAACATAAATAAACATACTACGCCTAAGTGACTGCTTTACTTCTGGCATTGCTGGTTTTGGTTCTTCAATTGATTGATTCGATTCTAATTTCACAATGTTCTGTACAGCCAATGAGACAACATAAGCAATATTTATAAATGAAAAAGTATATTCAGTTTACATTGCAGTGTATCATGAATATTATTAGTATTGTAACAACAATATACAGAGTCAGCAAAAATATTAGTGTCATTAAGACTTTTCCATAAATTTGTTGCAATATTCTCTTGTAGTTAATCAGACAAATACATAGAAGGTGGACATCAGAGTACATAACAACATAAAACACATATATTTTACCAGATAATACATTGTAAATGTTAAGAATAGGTAAATAATAATAATAATAATGAGTTTAACCAATTTATTACTATTAGATTTTATTACTATTAGATGTTATTATTAATATTATTAGAAGAAGAAATTATTTTATATTTCAAGGTTTATGAAGTCACCAAAAGTGTTATGACACCATCTATCACAAATTATGTTATATCATTAACTTTAGTTTGGAAATAAACACAAAATTTGTGTCAATTTAGAAATCTGATAAATATTGGCATCCAATTATAATAGATGTCAATTAAATAAATTAAAATATATACCTCGTTACAAAAGAGAATGTACTGTTTTCGCGACCAGTTTTCATTCTCTTTTGAAACAGGATATAATTGTATCAGGACCATAAATTTGTTTTTAATTTTATAAATATAAAACCAAAACAAAATTATCAATCATGTTATGTGTGTGTCTAAGTAAGTAGGTACCTATTTAATATATTGGTATACACATTACAATTACACTACCAATAGTACCCACTTTATTTTTATCTCTCATTCAAATTTAGTTTTTTTAAAATTTTAATATATTCCTATATATTTGTTCTGTTTAAATAAAAATTAAATAGGTAGAGAATTAACAACAAGTAAATCACTTCAGCCAGTTTAGGTCAAAACATCTCAAATATAACTGCGCAAACATCTTGTGAAATAAAATACAGTAAATATTTAAAGAATACCTAGTAGAGATAATATAATTGTGTAAGTAAAGAGTATTTCAAATGGTAGTCGAATAGTAATAATGAAACAAAATCTGTACAGCAGAGCTTAAGTGTATGATATTAGAATTGTAATATATCATTGATTGAACTTTTTAGAATTATTCATCAAAGGTGATATAAGCAATCATAACACTCATAACCTATAAATAACGATAGCGTTTGTATAAAACAATTTTACTAATACTTTTATATTATAAACAACATTTAAAATACTTTGGTAGCTGATATTCTTTAATTTGTATTAATTAATACATGAAAAACACATGGATGCTTGTATAAATTATTTTTTAAAAAAGAAATTTGATGTTTTAAAAATGTATACGTTAAATATATTGATATTTATCATATACCAATTACATTGGTATATATTTTTATATTAAATACATGTTTTATAAGTATCGAGTTATTTTGAAATATTTTGACCCATTACTGCTTCAAATTTACTGAATATACATTAGCACAAGCATTTTATTAATCTGTCTCAAATTTACGGAAGGAGTCCCAGAAATAATATTTACACTCTTCAATCCAAACTTGTTATGTATAAATTAAATTAGGAGCGACAGTAATACCGGTATAACATATTTTTTTTTTTTAAATGGTATACCGAAATTATCATATATACAAATATCAAATATACCGATAATATCGAAATATCGAAAATACCGACATATTAATTCGATATTATCGGTATACAGACTCACACCAAAATATTGACATAAAAAAAATAAATACCATTACCTACAGATTAAATCTGCAATACAACTCTGAAATAAATGTACTTACCTACTGTTATTACTATTGCTTTTATTTCAATTGAATAAATAAATACCCATTACTTGTCAGAAATTACCTAATATAATCTCTTTCTATTTAATGTTATAATAGTTTTGAAATTATTATTTTTTAGTTAGAAGCATATGAACATTAAAATCTATAACATTAGTTCAATTAATGGTTAATGAAAAGACTTAATAACTTAAGAACTACCAACACAAAAAGTACTTATTACTAAAACAAATAGATTTTGTAAACAGTTTATTAGTTTAAAAACCTTCCAATTCATGAACTGTAAAACCTACTTATATTAAAAAAAATTACTAAGTTACAAAGTTTTATCATGCATATTATTTAATTGAGTGTTTTTTTTTTCCAAAAAACTCATAAAACAATTAGAATGATCTTGTAATAAAATAAAAATAGTTCTTGAAATATTAAGTGTATGTACCAGATTTAATGATGATTCTACTTCAGAAGACTGAGTTTTAATGTTTGAATTTGTAGGATTTGATTCTGTGACACTCATGTTATGAGCTCTTTGTTGACTTGTAGATTTCTGTAAAATTAAAAAAATACAGTATGCTATGGGTAAATAAAAAGTATTAATTATATTATATACTTATACAAGTGTTATCTATATAACATCATTGTATAATAGAAGTAGACTATAGACAGTCTCTATCATAATTTCTATGAGTATTCTAAAAACTTACTGCTAAACTGCTAAATAAATATGATATTTATTAAAATAGTAATTTTAGCACCAATATGAAAGTATGATTATAGAATTGATGTTTTACTATAAATAATAATAAAAAGTGATTTATAATAGTGTTTCAGATAGTAACCATTAAATGAAACCAGTCACTAGTCACACAGGGTAAAAAAATCTAGTTCACTAACTTTTTTGGTTTTCGCATCCCAAAAAGTAAAAAACAATAAATGTGCTCCCAAAAGTAAATTAATTACAAATTTATTATATTTAAGTATTCAAAAATTTTTACTTTTATGACAAAATAAATCAATCATATATACTATTAAATTTTAATTTAAAATAATACAAAATATTTATACTTTTACAAAGAAAAATACCAATGACTATTGGTATTTTATTTTAATGCGAACAATGTACTTGTTTTCCGTTTAATAAATCGACTGTCATGGGTACCCTATTTGGTACTCACACGGTTTAAATCCTAGTCATTCATATTTTAGATTTTGAGAAGAACGAGAAATGTGTTGGTTTTAAAATGATGTTTTTTTTTCTATGAACAACTTTTCAACCAGAAATTTTGCTCTTATTGTAAAACTTTTTTTGAAAGGAAATCTGACTGGGGTGTTACTTTAGGGAGCTAATTTTTTGATTTTTAATAATAGAAGTTTTCATAATAAATGGTTCAATACATAAAAGGTTTGTTGGCAACTTCAGAATATTGATCTTTGATGTTATTTCAAAGTACTAAAAGTGATAATGAAGAGAAATGTATTTGTAATGAAGAATCCGATGAAATGTCGATTAATAGATTAATAATAATAATTGTTCTTCCTTTGTGGTTGTGAAATTTGATAATGGTTTTTCAGTAAATAGGTTTTTAATCCAATTGTATTATTTAATTTTTTTTAGAAAATATTTTATGAAATTATAAAAGTGTCATTATTAGATGATCAGAAATTATTGTTATTGAACCTGTTAATAATTCACGGTAATTATCTTCAAGAAATAATTAAGTAAAAACAAAATTATTAAAATAATTAATACTCATAAATAAATATCTTCTTCTTTATATCTTATTTTAAAATGTATATTTGTCTTACCTATATACAATTTATTAAAGTTACAAATAAGTTTATTATATATACCAGCATTTTTAAAAGAAGGAGGATTATATAAAAAATATTATTAATGAGTATATTGGAAATAGTTTTGATTAATAGTTACATTTATTGATTGAATAATTTCTAGTACATTGTTTGTACTAAATTTGTTACTATGTATGCACTTTTTATCCGAAATTTACATGCAAAATTATGAAACCAATAATATTATTAACAACCAAATATATAGTTCATATATAAAGGCATATTAAAGATATGTTGACACATTCATTTTATTTAGAGATTTTTTAAATAGACATACAGAAAATTAAGTTAACTAACTAAACAAAATAAATAAAACAGTCAATTTACACTTGAAATACAAATAAATAATAAATTAAATAATTTTCATAAGAGTTTCCATAATAAAGAACACATTAGATTTTAGCATTCACAGGGAACCTACACAAACTGATGCAATAATACAACATGATTCTAATCACCCTTATTCTCAAAAATATAGATATTCCAATAGAACTAAAAACTTCACAAAAACTCCCCCTTCTTTTGAAAATGCTGGTATATCTAAACTTAAATGTAACTGTAATAAATTGTTAATAGGTAAGACAAATAGACATTTTAAAATAAGATATAAAGAACACATTTATGAAATAAAATTTAAAAAAGACTGCCCTAATTCAAATTTTGCTTAACATTAACATAAAATTGATATTAATACAGACTTAGAGATATTAAATACCCAAAATAATAATTACAGTAATTCAGTTTTTAGAAGAATTGCTTAAATAAAATTGAAAAAAAGAAAAACAATTTTTAATATTTTAAACGTACATACCGATTTTAAAAAAAATATCTTTTATCAATACATTGAAGATAGTAAATAATAATCATAATATTTCTTAACATATTTATGTCTAATTATAACCAGTTTTAAATAATCTCTCCTTTTAAAATAAATTATTTCTATGTAAAACAACCAATTTGCATAATTTTTTTTTTCTATGTATTTCTTCTTCATTTAATTTTTTTATATTCAATAATAAAATAATAAAAGTAAGAACAAAATTATTAAAATGGTTAATACTCATAAATATAATATAATAAATAAATATATAAAAATAAAAAATAAATAAACGAATAAATATGTTGCCTGAAATATTATGATAAGTGTAGTACACAACCGGTTACAAATTAAAAATTCATCAGGTAGATCACAGTCAAAATGTAAAACGTGACTGAATATAAAAATTAAATGAAGATAAACATAGAAAAAAGTTAATAGTTTTACATAGAATATAGAAATAATTTATTTTAATAATAGAGATTATTTATTAGAGTTATTAATAAATATAGATATGTTAAGAAATATAAATTATTTGATTACTATTTATTATCTAAAATGTATTGATACAAGATATTGTTTTTAATATCAGTTTGTACATTTAAAGTATTATTTAAATTATTTTTCTTATATAAAATTAAATAAGACTGCCCCTAATTCAAATTTCGCTTAACATGTTTTAGAAAATAACCCTAATATAACCTTTGATATTAATATTTTTAATTGGAAACTGGCCTTCTAATACACTTATTATAATACTCCAGGCGACACTTTCATTCATTTATTTTTTATTTACATATTTATTTACTATATTCAAGAAAATATTTTATTACTGGAAATCATGTGGTTTTACCGTTTTTTTCTGTTAAGTTTTCTTTGTTTTAAATGGATTTTTTAAATACAATCATCCATTTTATCATACAATTGCAGAATATGAGTTACTTAACTTTGTAATGTGCTGAACAAATTAAATTTTTCAAAAATGTAACATAAGTATATTGATTACGTTTTATTGAGATTATTGTTGATAAAATAAAATAAAAATATCAATATTTACTTCGCGCTTCTCCTGTTAAATAGGTACGTGAAATGCGGCGTTTACCGTTTAATATGTGTGCCTAATTCCTAAAAAGTCAATTAAATAATGTGCTTTTTAAATCTCCACCCAATTTTTTTCAATGTCAATAACAAAATGTCAACTTATATTAGGTACTACTTATATTATTGAACAGATAATAAACTTGTTCAATATGTTAAATTTTATTCAACACGTCAACAATTAGAAAATCTAATAATATTAAAATAATAATTCATTAAAAAAAACCATACAATAATCTGTGGGCGCCATTACCTAATGTTATTTTTCGTTTTAAATTGCAAACTAAACAGTTATACACGCCGATATCAGTGATTAGATATATGAATATAAAATATGCAATTTACGAACAAATTATACAATTGTGAGCAGTAATAACTAAAAATGAAATACTTACAGAACAAACAAATTCAACTGCCAACCACGAGTACGAAATAATACGTATTAACAGTAAACAAAAAGTGTGAAAGAACGTTTGACAATGAGCGATAAACATTTGACAGTTGGTTTTGTAATCTTAATAATGCGGTTTAAATACGACGGTGCAGCCAACAAACCTTTGGTAATCATTTGTCGCGAGTAATTGTGGTGGGCGCCGAGTTTCCGTTACACCGTGCACCGACGAAGTATCCCGCGCATAGGTACCTGCCATTCAATAATTTGGAAATGCAAAACGTGAATCGTTTGATTTTGGCCCAGAATGTAGGCCTATAACCGTGATTTTGACATAGAGCTTATCTCAGATGTAACAACTAACCACCATAAACCGGGTTCAACTAGCTTAGTCACGTGATCGGTAGACGACACTACACGTTCATTTTGGACGATACGATGATGTAGTGTGATTTGTGTGAAGGCATCTTTGGTTATAACCACCACGAACCAAAGTATAAGTAATTTTGTTTTATTATCGATTGTTAAGTGTAGCTAAGTACCTATTATATTAATATTTATAATAAGTAAAAACGTGAATATTTTAAAATATGAAAAAAAAAATTTAATTTAGGCTTATTAAGTAACTGGTTTGTGATTCTGTACATAGATAGCGCTAAGAACTCAGATTATACTGTTTGAAAACATTTTAGATCCACTGATTTGACCTTCGTTTAGAGTTCCAGTCCTGTATATCTTAGTTCGTGGTTATACCACAGAATAGATTAATATAATAAAATAGGTTAAAGAATAGATTAAATCAGAAGCACAAATTAAGATACCTTAATAATATTTTTTAAGAGGACGCAGGACGGATCTAAAGGAGGGCCTAGGGTAGGGTGACCATATGAAAAAAATAAAAAACACAGGACAGTTGTTATTTCTCTCCCCCCCCAAAAAAAACCCTCATCCATATTCATTCACACAACTGTAAAGAGTAAAAGTCCAATTATTTTCTTATTATTTTACCTTTTTTGAGTAATTTATCCTAAATAATAAGCGTTTAAATATTTAGGAATATTTTCTTTTTATTATTCATTAAATAACACTACAATAATGCATTTCAAAACTATTTAAATATTTTAAACAAATAGAAAAATGTACTTTTTATATTGAAGGTTTACAATATTAAACAATATATTTTTTTTTAACAAAAATTAGGAAAATTACACCATCACCATCACTATCTTCATTGTTCATGAATTTGATATTACTTCTTCCATACTATCCACTCTTTTTTCGTATTTTTCTGAGAAATTCATTGAATTTAACAATTTTGGGTGCTTCGAAAGAAATTCGTTAAATTGTGAACAGAAGAAGCTTTTAAAGTGCTGTTTTGCCATAAATGTAGTTTGACTTACTATTATGGCATACGCTATACAACATCTCTCTTTCTTATCGCTAATTTTATTATCGGCATTGAGACTCGACGTTCGTTCCATGAAAATTGTTATCTGTTATTTATAACTTCGGTTTCATATTTTAAAAATACGAGTACTGCTTTATATTTGTTTCATTTATCGATATTTCTTTCATAAAATTGATATAATTATATGGAAATAACGGGATTAAAACGAGACCATTTTCTAAAAACGGGATAAGAAACGTCCCGTTTAAAGTTTGTCGGGACAACGGGACATGAATATCAAAAAAAGTGACGATCCCATTGTAAACGGGACGTCTGGTCACGTCCTGGGTCGCCTCAGACACATTATATTTCCGATGTTTGTATGAAAATTTTATGAAAAAATAATGTATATATTGTATTATAATATATTTTAATTGTATTTGTGTTGTAAACAAATTGTCGCCCTCCCCCTCAGTTCTTTGCTCTGGATCCGTGACTGAGAGGACGACACACCGACATCAACTGCCTCCGTCTCACAAACGTGAAATATAACAAATTGCGTTCAGTAGGACACATTTCGTCCATGAGTTTTAATATTAAAGCAAATTGACTTATTACCAAAATTAAAGTTAAGATTATAAGTGCTATAGCGTTGATGATTTTTATTTATAAATGAGACATGAGTATATTAAATATCACAATTTAAAAACGATTACATCAATATGATTATGTAGTAATTTTTAAAAATTGAATATCAGTTAAAATACTGATTTTTCGTGTTTCATGAGTTGTTATTTATCGTTTAATTTTGAGTTTTAAATTTGAATCTAATTTAATCTATTCTGTGTTTGTCTTAAATTGAATAATTTACAATATGATATAAGAGTATCGTATATAATATCTAAAATAAATAATAATAATACCTACTTTATAAGAGTCCTGTAAATAAAAACCTCGGAAAAAATAATAACCAAATTTTCGTTATTTTTACGGATTTTGCATACAAATTTTTAATTATTACTACATGTTTCGTATAAACATGGGCTATGTTTATTTTTCAAATGGTTTTTTTTTGTTTTTTTTTTTTCAATTGTATAGCCATAAATTGATTTTAGCATTTATGAAAGAGTCTGTAAGTAAACAACAAAAACAACAAAAAAAAAAAAATGCTCAAGTACTATATTATTTTATATTATCTAATTATTTGAATTTAGTCTTCGTGCATTTTACACACATAAACAGGTTCATTTTTAATTTGTTATAAATTGTTAGTTTAAAATGTTTTCTTTAAAATACTTTGAAATTTACTTTCAGATAGGTACCTATGCAAATTTAAATGTAATATTATTGTAATTATTTTGTATGTCAACAGATCTGATTTACAAATTTCCTCCAAATATTAAGATCTTCTTTAAATGCATTTGCTCAATTTTATAATTTTTTTTTATGAATGTTTGGTTTTTTCAACTATGACTGATTTTCCACAAAGTAAGTACCTGTAATTTGTACATAAAAAATGCATTTAAAACAATTTGTAATCTGATTCGCATAATTACGAGAACGAGTTACACAATTTACATTTGTGAGTGAAAATCTGTAAGCACAATTAAATCAGCTTTTTTGAGACTTTTGGAATTAAAACAAGAGGCTGGCTTATTGATAATTCAATTAAAATACAAATTATAAAAAAATTAATTTTAAGAAGAAATAATTATGTCATAATAAAATTATAAATTAGTTATTACAAATAGCTAATCATATTTAACAATAATTATTTAATAAAACATAACATAAACATTTGTAATTGATAAAATTGATAGATCTCTAATTCTCACAAAATGACATCAATGACGGCAAATGACGGTTACACTAATACATTTATAATACAATAGTAATCACACAGCCGTAAGCAATCTAGTTTATTATTTATATCTGTGGGGAATAAAAGTCACGGTCTAGCTAATGACAAAATTCAAAGAGTTGATGTAAGGAACGACTACTATAACGTGACGGCAAACTCTTGCCTCAAATTCGGGAAAAAAAATTTGGTTTTTATTTTCGTGATTTATTTTTCCAGCTACCACTTAATAATACCTACTTATTGATTATTTATTTAATTCGTGTCATTCTTATACGGATGCTTTTTAGAAGAATTAAAAATGTTAAAGCAAATAATCAAAGTTACTACCAATTCTATCACAAATATTAAATTGATAAAAATCACCCACGTGAAGATAGCCGCCACGTTTTTTTTTTTTCCATTTTTCACCGGTTTTTCTTTATCGGGTATTCATCGGATTTGGTCGTGCTCTCGGGTGTTGGCACTTCCTGTTTTGTCGATAAAAACCCACCCGTTTAATCGTGTCGTACGGTGGAAGGGGAGAGCCGTTTTAAACGTGAATTTTAACATTATTTTCGTTATAGTTTTGAGCGGATTTTGACGGCATATCGCTACGGTTTCGGCGGTAGACGGCAGCCCGACCAAGAGAGAAGGCGAAACCAGTGGCGTGCCCGGGAACTTTCAACGGGAGGGAACGTAGTTAATAATAATGAGTACCGACCGCAGAATGCTTGAATCGCTTGAACGAACGAACTTCCGGTCTGTGCGCTGTGCCGGGCCTAACGCCTTGTCCAGTAACGGATATTACTTGGGTCGGGTTGAGTTTTTCATTTTTTTGTCCTTTGGATAGTTTAGATCGAGTTAAGCCCGTCGGGGGGTTGGGGGGGGCGAGTAGAATTTTTTTTGCGTCGTTCCCTCACTCGGTTCGCGTCCGAGTCCCCTTAAGTGGCGGGTGAGGAGGTTGAAAGGGAGAATATTCGTTTTTTTGCGGAACGTCGCTGCGTCGCGGTCGCGGACCGTTCCACCGTTCCGCCCGCAATCCGCCGACGAGAATATTTAAACGACGGCGGACCCGATCGACAAATCGACAAAATATCGTCCGCCGAAATTTACGATCCCGCGATAAAATTACCGCGGTGAACGTCGACACGCGGCTGTCGTATTTTTAAGCCGACGGGAGGGTTGGGGAGGTCGGGCGATAACCTCTAACGCGCCTCCTCCCCCCACCCCCTTATGCGGGCGACGACGACGACGGAAAGAGATAATATACGAATAACCGCGCGGCATAATAATATAATACTAAACGACGAGTAAGACTGCGCGCGCGCGCGTGTCGTCCGTGCGCGTTTATTTATTGCGTTCCGCGTCGCGTCTGAAAGATTTGCGCTCGGATCTTCGCTGTCGTCTAAATCACTCCGGCGGCCTCTCCCCGCGTCACAAAATTCGCATCTCCGGCCCCTGCCGCTCGTGCGTGCGGCCGCGCACCGCTGCGACTTCACGTCGGGGCCCGGTTTAAACGCGTACGACTACACACGCGTCGTACACCGCCGCCGCCGCCGCCGCCGCCGCCGCTACTCATACCATACCGTACTACCGCTGTTACCACTACCGCGGTTAACGCGCGTTTTATCTCGATCTGCCGTTGACGTTCTCCCGTCGTCGTCGCCGCCGCCGCCGCCGCGGTCTTTCGCCGTGCAGCCCGTCGTCTCTTCTTCTTCCTCTCGCGCCCCCGTCCCAACGCGTGTTGTAATATACGTATGTATAGTACACTGCACGCTGTTCCCCGTCTCATTATTCTTTTGCCTCGGCGACGTTTAATAATTGTATCGCGATATCTTTGTTTAGTCGAATTGCCGTATTTTTTTTTCGCACTGCCCGTCGTCGTATAAATACGTTTCGTGTAAAATAAAAGAACGTTTCTGATGGGTTTACAAGCGTGTTACTTTTATACCTACAATTATTATTGTTTATTATTGCGGTACCGCGGTATAGTGTCGCGTAAAATACGATAATAATGTACCGGTACGTATGTATAATATACGTG